CGCCGTTGATATCGATACATATGCGATCGGTCATTTTCTTGTCTCTTAGGAGTAAATACGTTCTTTTTTTGGTTGTCAAGCCCGCCGCCGGTGCAGAAAAACATAAGGTATATTAGCCGCCGCTATGGAAAAAAACTTTTACAATTAAAGCCGCCGCCGCCGCCATGGATAAAATGTTGGACCATTAAAACAGACGTCGCCGTTTGACCCGTCGATTTACACCTCTACTGGAGGCATACATGGGATTGTGCATGTTTTTCGATATTGTGCTTTTTTGAGCTTGTATTTATGAACTAGAGTATTTTGTTGACCTTTTTATTAGGATGTGTGTTGCTGTTTGATTATAAAGAAAATGTTTGAGACTAGCTAAGTTATTGGTGGCAATTTCTGGTGCACTTTCAATACGAATTGTGAAATATTCGTGATAGCAAAGCATGGTTGATTAGAAGAATTAGAAGCTATAAAAAATGTGGAGGAATACGAAGCGAATTAAATTCCATGAATGAATATGTTTCATTTGTTGATGAAACAAATTCTCTCGGTAAATGAATAGTTTAAAAAAGACGTAGAAGAAGAAACAAATGAATGTCCTTTTTCTTTTAGAAGAAAAGTAACGCAAACGGTGAACTCTTCGCAATAAAAGAAGAGATAGAGAAAGCTGATAAAACAGTTTTTGTTATCAGTGTGAATGTATCTTTATTGTCGACGTCGTTTTGGACGGAGATTTCGGATTGTTTTTTGTTTTGATGAATCATTCTCATGAGATAAAAGCTCAGAATCAAGTTTTTCATCTGATTTACGTTTACGAGTTGATCGTTGTTCAAATGGTGTGGGTGTGAGTATGGGTGTGGATTACAATTCTATTCATGCACAACCACACAGACATCCACACCCACATCCACATCAACCACACATCCTCACGTAGAGAAACATCTGACTTTATTAAAAACAAGGCCTTTAAAGAGATTTCACGTCCTTTTTTTCTCTTATCATCTTCATATAAGGTGACATCAGATAGAGAAATAGTGAATTTCATAAAAAAAAAGGTCTACAAAGGGCTTTAAAGGCCTTTTTCGCAACCATCTTGATATAAGATGATTTTACATAAAGAAATAGCTAACTCCATGAAAAAAGTCTGTAACCCTTTAACTGTGATTGACGAGTATACACGTCAAAGTATTCTTTATCAAAAAGGTGAAGATTACAATTCCTTAACGTTGTTTTTTTTATATACTCTGTATCGACTCTAACATCCTGCACCTACTAGAGTTCACTATACTGACTCTGATGTTTCACATCGATTGTTCGATTACGTTTCTATGTATCAAAAGTAATTTTGCGAAAAGTTCACTATTTAGCTTAAAACATTCACGATTAAAGGGTTAAAGGCTTTTTAATGGTACCTTCATATAAGGTAATTTTAAAGCTTGTCATACATAATTTCGGAAACCGACTTAGATTTCCTATGATACATTTTTGATATTGAAGAAGTTCGGAAACCCATTGAGTTCGGATGAACTATCTCGGAAATCAAAAAGACATTTTCGCATACTAGTCTGAATTGCAAATCAGGGATCAAAAAAAGTGAGCTACACGCATAAACTTGAAATGTGGAGCTCACTTACGTATTCACTTTTCACCAATCGAATCCAGCCCATATTTTCTGATTTATAGCAATATGACCCCTCGGCTCGAATCCTAGGGGAAAAGTAATACACAATGTTCGATAGTTATGCTACTGCGAGTATTAGAGGTATTATCTGGTATGTTAGTAGCATCTCAGATGATACCTCTAGTATATCGGGTGACGTTACTAGCATCCCCAATGATATCTGTAGCATTCGAGATATGTTTATAGCATCGTAGAGAATGCCTCCAGCATACCTATCCAACATCACATATTGCTCTTCATCTAGGATCCCAGTCAAAGAGGTCTTACTGTTATAAATCAGACAACATGGACTGAATTAGATCGTAAAAGGTGAACGCGTAAGTGGGTTTCAAATCTAGAGTTTAGACACTTTGGAGTTCACTTTTTTTGACCCAAGTCAGGTTACCGGGCGATCTTAGTTTTCGATAATACCTTCACGGTTTCTTAGAATACTATTTTCATTTTTGACAGTAATGTATGAGTATTGTAAAATCGTTTTTGCTTATTAAAATCGGTATTTTTGAAAACCTAAGGGTTTCCCAACGTTCAGAAACGAATAAGGTATTTTCCAAAACGCTTTGAGATTTCAGAAGACCTTTCAGAAATCCGTAAAACTTTTCAAAAGAGTCTGAGTTTTCTAGGAAATGGGTCTTTTTAGAGTTAGAATTGACAAAATTGTGAGCTGTTGCTTTCGATCATGTCATCCATCGCCAAGATTCTCATCATCAATGCCGACGATTTCGGCTATTGTCCTAGACGAAATGCTGCCATTATCGATCTTTTTCGTCGACAGATCATCTCATCAACAAGTTTATTGATCAATGGAGATTATGCGAGTCAAGCTCGTATATTGGCTACTCCGTACCGAATACCGATTGGTTTACATTTGAATCTGACTGAAGGCCGACCAATTACGACCGATTTGAATCGCATTCGATCATTAGTCGATGCACACGGCATGATGCACGGTAAGATCGGTCTGCGTAATGCAATTGATCAGGAATTGATCGATATGACTCATGTTGAATATGAAATTGAAATGCAATTTCGTCAATATCGACAATGGATAACAGACAGACAGTGTCCGATGCATATCGATGGTCATCAACATATTCACGTTCATCCGATGTTAGTCGAGTGCATCGCTCGGCAAGCGCGTCGCTTCGATGTGAAATATATTCGTGCGCCGTTCGATCAAGCAATTCTCGCCATGTCGAATCCAGAGCCATTCTATCGAACCGTTGTCGAACAGACTCGTAACGCTCGAATGATTTTTGATCGTTATGATCTTCGCTATCCATCCTATTTTATCGGTTTGACTACCATGGGTCAAGCGCTGACATACGACAATCTCGAAAGATGTTTTCAAACGTTTACATTGGATGAAACATCGAATATCGCCGAACTAATGTGTCATCCGGGTTATCCGAGTGAAACATCCATCGGCGGTTGCGGAACAGGACAACCGGACGAATTTTCTTGTTCGCCCGATCGTCAGCATGAATTCGATCTGTTATTCAGCGACGAATTTCGGCAACTTTTGGCTAAATACCATATTCATCTTGGGACGTATGCCGATATCGATTACAATTATAAACGAGATTGATACTAGTAAGCGAAGCGATGATGTGGCAAGCCTGGATGCCAGTCATCATAATACGATAGTCCAGCAAATTGCCACGAGCATGCCAAATGACTGTGACTTCGACGATAAAAATCGACCGATTCATGGAGACAATCGCGACTGTGTCCCCATAAAGTTGATATCAGTATGTCGCTTGTATTTGATTCTGAGTGTGGGTGTGGGTGTGTGAGTATGGGTGTGAATCACAATTCTATTCGTGCACAACCACATCCACACCCTCGCATGCTTTGACGTGTGGATGTGGGTAAAGAATATACTAAAACTCACATACACACCCTGTAATCAACTTTTACGAACGCTCACTTTCTACGAGTCATAAGGAAAACCAATCGTCGACAAAAACTATAAAAATGACTTACCTTAATACTAACATCCGCCATCTCTCTTATGTTTCACTCAAGTATCCCAACTTGTCTTTACGAACACTTACAGAAGGACTCAGCCTGCTCGTTCATATACGATTAGATTATAGTTTCTTAAGCATATTTACATCGAATATACTTCATATGAGGACAAAACTGTATAGAAACATTCATTAATACTCATACAGACAAAATTTATTCATTGATAAACAATTTGATGCTTTTTGTTATGAATTTTGCTTCAAAAAAATCTCAAAACTGTAAATACAAGCGTTTCCCATCAGAAAATTTTATTTCCTTTCAGGAATTTTTCAGAGTTTTGTCTGTAGATCGGTAGACTTTTCCAGTTTTATAAAAAAAACATGCTGTTACAGTAAAACATTGTAATAATATTGTACACTCTTTAGCGAAGAACTTATAAAAAGATAGAAGTTAGCTCGAAAAATGAGAGCGTTTTATTTCCAATTATAACTGTGAAGTGAGGACTGAAGAAAAAAACGCTTGTTTTAAAAGTTTTAAGATTTTTTTTTAAAGTGAAATCCATAACAAAATACCTCGAATTGTTTTTCAATAAAAGTATTATATCAGTGCGAGTGTTAATGCATTTCTAGTGGATGCTATTGGGTGGGTGTGGCTGTGGGTGTAATGAGATAATTTATCAACATCTACATTTACACCGATACCCTCTGAAATCGATTCGTCACAATAAATCTAATGAATAGAATAATATCTAATAGAGCAAAAATTCATTCTAACATTTACAATCAATCAAACCATTGGAATATTTTCGAACGAAATTTTCCCATTGGGATCGTTGGATCAGCAGAAAAATATCGATTTTTTATATTCTTCAAAGTTTGATTTCTTCTTCGTCTTTTTGTTGTTTGTTATGATAGTTAAAAATAAAAATATATTAGAAAGATTTCCAGTTACTATATAATAATCCATGAAAGACAAAAGACAACCATTCAAAGTAGTCTCTTGATTTCTCGACAGTTAAAATATTTGATATAGAGAATAAGAGTCGTTAAATTTAACATTTAAAATGTGTTTGTGATGAGTTTTGATCGAAATAGCTGCTAAATTTTATAAATGACACTACGAAAAACTGTTGAGAACAACGTTTAGAATGTTGAATTTATCAATATCTTTCTTCTTTATATAATTGACGGATAAAAAAGTAAGAAAAATTCTTCATCATGAAATATTATTTTCGTTTTTATTAAAAGTATTGTAGACGAAGAGAATATGTCTGTTTATATTTGATAGATGATGGAAGGTTTTTGGATAAATAAATATGATTTATTTCTATCGTGTTGCTTGATGAAAGATAATAAAATATTTAATTAGTTGGTTTATTAACTCTATGAAGATAAATTGATATTGGTTCAATTGAATATTTGTTAATCCACCATTGAATTTCATTATTTTTCATTGATTTTGATTGTTTTTGTGTACGTCGTTTTGATGTCAAAATAGACTTTTGAGATCGACGCCGTTTTTTCTTCAAAATTTTCTTTTCTATCATTGATAAAGATGATTTTTCTTGTTTATTTTCGGATGAATCTTTTATAAATTGATTATCTTGTTTGTCAATATGATTCTTTAATAAAGCGTCTTGTTGTTGATTTTGTCTTATTTCAATTTGTTGATCTATCGAAGAATTTGTTTCTAGGTGACTTAGCTCATTATCCATTGATTTTATTGAATTTACTTGACAAGATAGATTTTTCTCTTGATGATCAGATAAATGTTCTTCTATTGACAATTGAACTATTGCGGAAATATTTTCAATATTTAATTTTGTTATATCCAATATTCGTTGTTGTGTATATATTTTATTTATATTTTCTTTTATCACACTCCTCTCTATAACTTCACTCATTCACAATATAGAAACAACAGGCATATATATATATAAAACAGATATTAAGGGAATATACCAATAGATAACATAATTTAGTTGGAAAAATACATGAGTTATTACATCTAAGAAAAGAAAACAGTAAAGAGGACAAGAGAACATATCAAGGAAAATGCCTAACAGAACGAAAGAAAAGATATAACTATAGTTAACAACATATGCACAGAATGAAAGAAAACGAATATAAATGGAAAATACCTTTAACAACTTTTCTTATGGCACATCATATGTACGTGCCATAAGAAATTTGATTATGTCTGGTGATAATCTTGATTGATTATCATTTGAATTATTTGTTACTAGAAGAATATTGTTTATGGACCATTTTTCATTACCTATAATAACTTATTTCATTTGTATAAAGAGATTTTTAAAAAATTTTACTCTTTTCATTCGGATGACATTGATGAGAAAATGTTGATTCTATTTTTGATAAAAGTCGTTCAATAAAAAAATTCCAGAATTGATCTAATTGATTAATATTAACTAATCTTAATGATAAATCTGATTTAGTTGATCTGTCTGGTTTATATCGTGTTATTTTTTTTTTTTATCGACATAATTCAATAAATTCTTTATGTGTACGACTAGGAAAATATGTTAAGATAATATCTTTTATTGAAATACACAACATTATTTCATTCGAATTTATTGATGATGTTGTACAATATTATATGATCTCTTTTTCATGAAATAGTATAGATCGACAATATGATTTATTTGATTTACAATCATGACAAGACGATGAAATATTTTTGTCTGGCGAATATTTATTATTAATTTCTTATTTTTCACTCTCTAGAAATATCAAAACATATTTTAAGGTTTTATTTTTCAATTCTATATCAACAAAAACAAAGATTAGCAAATTGAAATTTTTTTGACAACGATAATTACCATTCCGAAAATCTTCCTTCAATCTGAACAACGATAAATACATTATGTATATTCACTCATTTTAATGCTATTCGATATTTCATTGAATATATATTTAAATCAGTAGAATTCCGTAGATAATATATATATGATCTATGCCATAGGAAGTGACAAATATCATTTTATTGTTCGTTTCGTCGGTTCAACTACCATGTTAGCTTGCTATACACATTTATTTAATCGTTCAGTAAGCTTCCGAGCACATCATCCTTTCTCTTGACGAACTTTGACATCTAGTGTTGAGTTGTGCCTAAACTTAGAATTCAATTAGTTCATACTTTATGTCTGTCCTATTCGGACTATGCTAGATCAATTAAACGACTGCTCTACTGAGTGGAACATATAATAAGACTCTTTCGCTGCGTTAAATACTAAAACTCGCAATGTTCAGACTCATTAGATTTATAGAATATTTTGAAAGATTCTAGAAAGTTTCAGAATGATTTATGCAAAATTATTACTGACGTACCTTTTCTTCTTGCAACAAAAACGTACTCAATAATCTTTGGCTTTCCTCTTTCTGCTCCAGTTGCTATGACCTTAGGAAGCGCCGAAAAAATGTCGATTTTAACTGATGTTCACTAATTTCTTCGAAAATATATGTGAGTTCGATAAAATGAATTTTAGAAATAATTTTATATTAAAAAATAAATTTCAATACTAACTCTATTGACAGCAACTGAATACAAATTTTCTATTCTCAAATAATTCAAAAATGATAAGTTTAAGATCATTTTCAATTCTACGATATCTTTATAGAAAGTCAACAAAAATTTATTGGCTACAAGAGATCTTAGCATAAATATTTATTTCTTGCCTCATATTTCAACACAGTCAGACGTGTATTATGTAAATTAAAATTGAATAGGCAATACGGTTAGTTGTTGAAGAAAAAAAAGTATGGGATTTAAAGATTTGATTATTCATCAATAGTTATGAAATCTACAAATTATTTTCTTATAAATTTTTATAGCAATTTTCACATGTGTGTCTGGATGGATAATGATTTCTTTTTTCTTTTGTTTGTTTTTTTTCTGGAAAGAAAGAAGAACACATTGTAGTACATACGAACAATAGAAAGAAGAAAGAAATTAGACAATGAAAAGAAGCAAATTTAATAACAGTGAGAAGACATTCATATTTATAAAGAGAGAAAAAAAAGAGAAAAAAAATAAGATAAAGGTGATCTTATGAATCAGCGATATCAACACAGTAACAATCATCATCAGCAACATTTGCATTTTGTTCTGTATTGGTTACCGGTTTTGAATTTGTTTTATCATCATCATCCAATATCACACAGCTGTTGCTATCGTTGGAGACAAAATTGTCTAAAATTAAAAAAAGAAAATAAATAAAGTCTTATTATAAACAATATTCTATAGACAATAATGAACGTATCAAAACTTTCTTGCATTGTAGTTATTATTGTTATCAATTTAAACTAGCTTTTAATATGTGTAAAACCAATCAGATTGAAATTTTAACTATGTCTAAAAAAGGTATGGTATTTATATTTTCAGAATGTTTTAAGAAAATTGTTCTAATTTGTATAGCGATTTTAACAGCCAACAGAGTTTTGTATCTAATGCATCCTATACCAAGATGCCATATAGCAAGGTTTCTAAAAAAATTGGACACAATAGTTTTTAGATTCCAGAAGACTTTGTCAGAGTTGTTTTTTTTAAACAATGTCATTTTAAAGAGAATAAAATGAGAGAACACCGCATTTTTCTATGACCATCCGTTAAAAAGTTAAAAGCATCCCTAAAACCGAAACAAGGTCCTGTTTAGCGACTTTTTTGGTAAATTTTGTTTTTGTTAATGGGTTCTATAGCACTTTTAACTTTTTAAGGGAAGATTGTAGAAAATGCTGCGATTCCTCATTTTCTGCTCTTTAAAATGACATTGTTAAAAATTAGCTTTGACAAGGTTTTCTGGCATCTGAAAACTACCACGTCCGATTTTTTAGGAAATCTTGGTATAGGATGCATTTGCTTACCATCATAAAAAAACCGCTAAAAATGTATTATTGTTAAACTTTTTTCCGCCATTTTATATTGCATGGATGTCTCCCAAAATCGTAGAGCGCACTGCTCTACCGTTCACGGTCTCTTGCTTACGCCACTATTTGATTTAATAAAGTCTCATCGATCTCAATGATGATCTGAAATCTAATTTCATAAATTTTTTTGAAATCTCTGTTACTTTTGGGAAACACGATCTAAAAGAAATGTTGAAGTAATGAAGTAGAAATTTAGACCCTTCTACAGAAGTGACAGACATGTTAGAAACGGTTCATTACGAAACGATAGATATATAACCTTGAGAACGTCACAGAACGTGATGGAGGTCTTAGCGACCTTTTGATATGCTCGCGTCAAGGTCGTGAAATTGTTGATGTGCAATCAAAGATTATATATCAATAAAGTCTCGTTCTAACATATGAACTACTTCCTTATTGTATTTTTCAAGGATTAAATAAAAGGATAGTAAAGCAAAATATTCCAAAATAGAACGAATAAAACAATCTTCCTATGATTAGCAACAATAGCTACATTGTCCTTCACATTCTAATCCCGTAGAGATTGTGCTAACAGCTTTTTATATAATTTAACAAACTGCAAATTTTCTAGCTAACCAACATTCACAAGTATTTGTGGTAAAATTTTTAATATAATGAGAAAAAAAGTAATAGGAAAACTAAAATAATTTAAATAAAATACTAGTCACCGATGTTCTCAGAGGAGGATTGATCCTTCTCAAAATAAATGCGTAAATATTTGGAATGGAGAACAGATTGAATAATTTTCACAAGACAAAAAACAAAATGATCTTCTCGTTGTGGTGATTTGTTTTCCAAAAATGTTAATTCTTCCTTTAAGAAATTCCTGTTAACTCAAATCTCAAAAAAAAAAAAATCAATATTACCATCGTTATTTTGTTTATGTTTTTTTGTATTAATTATAAAATCATCTTTCGATGTTCCTTCATGATGTCCATTTGTATGTACTGGTACTTCATCATCAACAAGCATAACAAAACTCGTATGTATTGGACCAGTATTAATATTGGTATTATGTTCATTTGGAGTTGTTGATAATCGTTTTGTTCTTTTAACAATATTAACTTCATTTTGATAATCATCTAAATGTTGTATATGATCATCGTCATCGTCATCATCATCATCATCGTGATCTGATAATTTTCGTTTTAATGATTGTTTTATTTGTTTAATTTCACCAATAACTTGATCATCAACAATAATATATTCATCTTTATCTGTAATTGTATCTGTATGTTCAAGCATTAATTTAATTTTCATATGTTGTAATAATGCTTCATTTGTTTCATCATCATATTCTTCTTCACATAATAATATTGTTCCATTAATTAATTTAAATTGATCAAGAGTTTTTAACATCATTTGTTCATCTTCATCATCATCATCGGCTGATATTAAAATTCTTCCACTACCATCAGCAATAATAACATCTGGTTTATTCATTTTTAAATGTTTACGTATTAAACGTTCATATAATGAATATAATGTAAATAATGACATATTAATTCTAACACGTACAGGTTGTTCAAGATCACTACATTGTATACATGATGAATTTGGTTCTTCTAATGGTATTGATTGAATAATTCCACCTGTTTTACGATCCGTTGATACAAATACATTTGTTAGATGTTTTATTGATGTTAATGTATGATCAGTTGATAAACGTGGTAAAATAGAAAGAACTTTTCGTGCTTGTAATACAGTTATACCAGCAACAATAGCATTTGTTGTTGCTACAGCTGGAATTATATTTCCAGCCATTGATTTAACATCAAATTTACTTGTGAGATTTATACCAAATATATATGCACGTAAATTAGCTGATGCTGTTACAAATCGAAGATCGGCATCATCATTCTTATCCCAAACAAGAAATGATGGTTCTTTACTTGTTGAAGCTAAAATAATGAAAAAAAATCGAATGTTTGAGAAATTATTTTAATATACACATATATATATATATATACCTATTTGTCGTTGTTTATCTGAACGTTGTTTAAGTTCGTTGACGCTATCAATAAACATTTGAACATAATCACTTATTGTTTGAATACGTTGATCATTAAGTTTAGGCATTGTTGATTGTCCATGATCACCTTGTCCATTTTGATGATATTCTTTTATTTGACATGCTTTTTCATATTCAATTGGTATTGGTTGACGTCGTTTTTCCCATAAATTTTTCATTGTTGTTAAATAATTAATATCATCAAAAAATAATTTATTAAATATACGTTTTGGATCAAATTTTTCCATTTCACTATGAATCCAATCACGTGTTGATACTCGATGATGTCCATTTATTGGATTATCTTGTTCATTATTAACATTTTCTGGATCATCAGCATCTGGTGTAACATCTTCATTATTTGGATCTTCATTATCACCAAATAATTGATTATAAAGAAATTTCGCCCATACAATACAATGTATTGGTTGTGATGGAGTATTACGTATAGTACATACAGCATATGTTCGTTGTTGCTTTGGCTTTTCAATACAATCATAACATTGTGTACGGCCTTTAAATATTAATGTTGCTTGTCCATTATAACCAGTTGAACCACTATCAATTAATGGTCTTGAACATAATAAACACATACGATTAACATGTTGTCGTGCTTGAACATTATCAAGTGCATTTATAACAAGATCATATTGTTTATAAAATGATACATCAAATCGTGAATCAGTTATAACATCACCATGAAATGGTTCAATATGAATAGATGGACAAAGACGACGTATACTATCACATGCAACAGTTGCTTTTGGTTGACCAACATGTTCACGACGAAATAAAAATTGTCGATTTAAATTTGATACTTCAATTGTATCAAGATCAATAACACCAATTGAACGAAATCGACATAAAGCTAATGATTTTAATAATTCACATCCAATACCACCTGCACCAACAACAAGTACGGAACTTTCTTCAGGCAATTTGCCAATTGTATTATTTGAGAGATTACAATTGTTATTAATTGATGATGAATCAAATGTTGTAGCCATCTAAAACAAAGAAAAATAAAAAATAATTAATTGAACTTACATACACATAGCCTTGTTAGAAAAAGAAAAGCATCGTTTAAAAATAAAGTCGATGAATAGGACATCATTGATTCAACGAATCTTATGACTGTCATGTTTTTAAAAGAAAAAGATGTCACTAGTTTATTGAAACCTTTTTCGAATATTTTCTTTTAACAATTAATTCCAATTATTTAGTTTTTTTTTAATTGAAATTTACTAACTTATTTACAGTTATATGTAAATTAGAGTGTTCAAAAAAAAATTGAGAAATAAGAAAGTAAAATAATCAATTCATTTTTTATTCATTTATCGAATCTATACCAAAGAATATTTATTGTAATCTTTTAGAATTCAATAAACATAGTATGTATTATCTTAAAAATAAAAAGAACATTTACTACGAAATGACAAAATTAAACACGTTCAAGTTCTAATTGTGTTTTAGAATTTCTTTCGTCACCCGTATTTATTGTTGATGCTGGTTCAAATAACATGACAGTACATTCACCATTTTCTGCTTTTGGATTATGTTCAACACCTCGAGGAACAATAAACATATCACCTTCATTAAGAACAATATCTCCATTCTGATTATTTCTTAGTTGAATAATTACTTGTCCTTTAAGTACAAGAAAAAGTTCATCTTCATCTTTATGTGAATGCCATCCAAATTCACCTAATAATTTAGCTAATTTAACGTGTTGTCCATTAAGTTCACCAATTATTTTTGGTGTCCAATGAGCAGAAAATAGTGAAGCTTTTTCATAAATATTAACCTTTGATAAGTTAGTAACTGTTGACATATTCTCTACTAAAATGATAAAAACAATGATGTAGAAAGAAGAAAAACAAGATTTATATAGTTTTGCCACGTGCGCATAAAATAATATCGAATAGAGAAAATAACTTTTAGTTTCTTTATTTATCAAATAAAAACGACTCTTTCACATATATAAAACCTAACGATAAACTAATATGTCTACACACTAACGCAACAGTTAGATATTAGACTATTTTGCAAAAAATAAAATAAAAAACAACAGATATTTTTGATGTATGTTACACATGATGATTATCTTAACATAATTTTACATTGATAAATATTATATATTTCATGCATTAGATAGTTCTAGTCGACTTGAAGAATCACCAGTAAATTTCCTGCAAAAACACCAAATCCTTAATAAATTTCTAGGAACTCTTGATTGACATTCGGATAAGTGCTTTGTGCGTTCCTGACTTTCAGAAAAGAATAATAAAGACAAAATTGCTCTGACAAGTCTCGAGGAACTCCCTGAAGAATTTTGAAGGCGCGTATAAATATGAATCATACTACTCTCATAGCGCAAGTGTAGTAGCAAGAAAGTCGTAATTACTCGTGCCGATGAGAGTTGCATGTGAATATGATAATAAAGGACATTGTATACAACTCTTTACAATCTTCATAAAATTCCTATGGTGAATCTCGAGGTATTAGCAGATTCTAAATATGTCTCTCAAAAATCAATATCCAGAAAATTTCTGCCTTCTCCAGAACGAATCCATTTAAACGACACGAATTATATGATGCTATAATATTTATTTCGTAAATACAAACGAAGAATTAAAACAAGTGTTCGGAGTCTCCAGATGCTGAATTTTTGTTTTGCATGAATTTCAAAAGAATAAAAGAGTAATATCGTTTAGTCTTTCATTGATGCAATAATTGATTAAAGCATATTTCAGTTAAATATCGACTTCAGAAAAAAAAAACATTCTGTTTTAATAATTTAAATAACTTTAGGCTGACATAAGTTGTTTTGTATTTCTGCGAACGGTCTAATCAGCAAATGGTTTGTATTTTTTACTTTAAATATTCTGTTTTGATTCTTGCCTGATTTTGATTAATAATTTGTATTTACTTTTTTTTCGATATTGATAAATGAAGAAACATCCATAGAAGGAATTATCTCTGCTTTTTCAATTCCATATAAAACAAATATTTACATTTTTCACGAGTACAAAAAGTTACAAGCATTCGTACAAATGGTAGTTTTTCTTCTTTCGATTTGCTTTCGGATATTATACAAATTGGTAACTAAGAAAGGCTACTACATCATATTAGTTTTCAACTGCACAAAATATTTGTACGTTCACGACGTTTAGATAAAAACGAACAAATCAAGATTACAATCAATTGCTAGGAAAGTATCACTACTACCAGAACTTTTCACACTGAATAAAAACACATCTCGAATGGTATGAGTTAACAAACTCGAACGTTTCTTTCATGTTCATAGTCATACTGAGTTTAGTAAATACAAGCATCGAGCTATAGGTCTTTTGAAAAACATTGATCAACGATGGTACGTAGTCGAAATTGTACTAGATAAGGCAAAAAACAATGTGTCTAAAAATTGTTTACAAATTGAACATTTTTCTCAAAGTTATAACTTGATCCATTTACGCTTTTTATTTTGATCATATGATGATTACAGCAAATCCATGCATCACTATCCATCATCCTTGACATCTTCAATATAAATTTTTATCTGCACAAAGATCAAAAACTGAGCACAGATATATTTCAGTCGTTCCAATTTCGAGCAAGGTTTTGAAATGTTTCAGAACAGTCTAAGTCTTGTTGTTAATACCATTCAGCACATCTATCTTGATTTAAACTTACACTCATTATTTTCTTTGAATATATATATATGTGTGAGTTTCACAAAATCTCTTTTACCATAGTGTTATTTTTCTAATACTTACAATCAAAGATAATCATATAAGCATTGTCTATTAATAGAATAGATTTCTTTCATTGAAACCATAGCCTATGTTTAAAGCTTTCTGTCAATAAAATATCTTCTATTTGAAATCAATACAATTTATATCAATCCATGCATAAAGATATCAAATTTATCTATCTATTTTCTTATTTATAAATCTACCCATATCGAATCACTTGGTCTCAAATTAAATCAATACATTTTCTTTTTTTGTTGTCATATATCAGAGACAATATTTAACTTTGTTATTTTATATATTATGTATATATAATCGAAAACTACTACAATGCTGAATAATTTCACAGTAAAACAACATTATTTTTATTTAAATAAAAAGCGTATTAGACAGATACTCAACCAAACGAAGAAAACAATGTCAATAAAAAGTCATCTCTCGATCTCAAATGATGATACATACGCAAACAAATTATATAGTACATCTATTTTTTTTTCATACATAGATACACATAGACACATTCGACAACGAACTATTGACTTGAGGATCATAATAGACAATTAATTGCGTTGACAATAAAAAAAACAAAAATTTCTTTCTAAAATTCCCATTGTATTGCATGTCGACTCTGTTCACATGACGCTTGTATAATTCCATTTTGTTCAGCATGTAAATACATTCCATTTGATGCTTTTATAACAATTCTTGAATATGCAGGACATAATTCTAAAATAAATTTTGTTGGTTCACGTCCACTAACACTTATACTTAAATCACTTAATATTTCCCAATACATTCCATCTGATCCTAATTGAAAAAGGAAAAAAAAAGAATTCTTATTTTATAAAAAAAAAAAAAGTTTTTTTTTTCTTTTCAAAAACCTTTAAGATAAACAACTCCATCATTATTTATTTCGCCAATTGGTTCTTCAAGTGTAAATAATGTAAACATAGATTTATTACATTCAAGTATACGAGATTGTTTATTTCTATAACCAACATAACCAAAATCACATTTAAATACACAAAATGGTCGATTAATAAATTTTAATAAAAAATAACTTTCCATTGAATTTAATTGTTCACCAATAGCTCGCATATGTCCAGTTGCATGTGGAATAATATATTTACCATTTGATGCTTGAAATGTAACATGTCCATTACCTGTTGATTGTATATAAAATCCAGTTTCTATTGAACTAAATTAATTTTTTTTTTGGCAATAATAAATAAAAAAAACATAGTTTTATTTTCAAAATTTTAATCTTACCGTTTATCTGCTGTTGCTTGTACACCATGACCTTCAAGTTTCCAATATTTATTATTATAAGTACGAATATGATAAAGTTCAAGATGTTCATCATATTCAAGTTGAAATATACTACTATTATCTTTTTCACATTGATTTGCTGATAAATCAACACCTTGTTTTATTGAAACATGTTTTCCATTTGGTGCAATTAAACATATTTGTTGTTTACTTTCTTCTAATAAAAATTGTTCATCTTTACCAGCGATTTTATTTCGTGTTGTCATTATACCTAATGGACCAATAGCTGTTAAATAACAATGATTACAATCTTTAAATGTTAAATATCCTTTAAAAAGTTCAATTGTAAATAATGTATCATGAGTTTTTTTTGTTATAAGTTTTCCATCTTTATGAAAATAATATCCATTACATGAACGAATACAATATTGTCCATCAAAATATTCAACTGTAAGAATAGCTTCACTACCCCATGGAATAATATCATCAATATGTATTTCATCATCATTTAATTTTGCATAACGTTTACGTAGAGCATGTTTTAGATTAATCTAAATTTTAGTTAAGAAATTTTTTATAGGAGGAAAAAAATTAAGTTTTTTTTTTTTTTTTTGGTTTACTTGTGGATAAAGAGCTAAATGTGGTGACCACCATTCAGGTGTTTTACTAAAACAATGAAGTTGATCAACATCTCCACCTAAATACATGCCATAAGTTAAGGATTTAAATCCCCATTGACCATTTTGATTATATTCAAGTTGAAAACGACAATCATCAACCATATCATGTCCATCACATTTTAAACGACCATATTTATCTGTTGATAAATAATGATTAAGTGAAGATTGTAGATAAACACAATCATTTGGAATGTTATAAATAATTGTCCATGTTTGTTTCTTTTTTAAACATGTACCAGCTAGAATATTTAGATTAGGAAAAAGAAAATAATAAAGATTTTAAAATATAACTTACTAGCATTTATTTTACAACCAAAAGTTTCAGCTGTTAAATATTTTCCTTTTGAATTAATTAAACCTAATGACCATGTACATTTTTCTGATATTAAATTATTTGATTTTGTATGTTCATGATTATGACCATTTTCATTTAATGTTACTTTTGAATGAGATTGTTTACCATTAGTTATTGCTTTTTCATGATGTTGTTTGACATTCACTATTGCTTTTTCATGATGTCCATTTTGACTAATAGATGGTTTTTTTATATGAGTTACCGTTGGTGGAATTAATGATGGAGGAATTTTAGCAGATGGTTTTGGTCTAAATTGAGAATAGTTTTTTTTTTTAATATTATTTTAAAAATAAAATGAAACCTGAGGGCAGAATGCATATTGAATATAGAAGTATATACTTGATCAGCAAGTAATCATTGTATTTAGTCAATCTGTTTGGATTGTCAAATAGTGATCTCTTCTAAAAATGAGAAAGAACGAGAATTCTCTTATTCACTCTCTTTCTTTCCTTTCTTTTCGTTTTCTTTTCTTCTTCTCCTTCTTTATCAACGTTCTCATTAATTATAATCATGAACACGAGTAGAAATTTTCTCGTTCTCTTTCGTTTTGATGACCGTTGACGAGAGAAATAGCAATTAACAAAACAATATGAATAAAATTCTGAATGTGTTGCCGTTCATTCGACTGGTTATCGGATGATATAGCATATGATTAGAATTATTTGACCTTACAATTCTTATCGATCATCTCTTGTGGAAACATACAGCCTTACAACTGCAAGTTCATATAGGTAGAAAAAGAGAAGAAGAGAGTAATTTTCAGGGTCAGAGATAGAACAATGTGTCCGAGAAAAAGAGCATCTTCCTATTGTCACATCTTGGGTTATTATTAATATTATTTTTTGGACACATATAAAAAACTCGAATATGTAATCATTCCCAAATGACATTTGGTGCTTGGTACAGAAAAAAGAATACAAGAAAGATGAATTCAACATCCAGCTGGTCTTTTTCAATATACATAAGCAATTTAAAAAAGCAAAAGAACAGAATGATCAACTCATTCTTACGTCACTCATTTTACAATTTGAGGCGTTCCTTCTATTTGAAGCCCTCCCTTTAATTGAAAATTTGGTGCTTCTACAGATCAGTTACATCGTGGCACCTACACTTTTTAATGTGTCCTGTCAATTAGATCAATTACTGTGTAGCATGTCATCATTCTAGAGAAGAACCGAAAAGTTTTATATAGATAACAGAAGCAAAAGATTTCTTTTTTTTTTAAAGAAGCTTCTTATATTGATAGAACATAATTAGATATGACAATTTTTTTCCATGAAGTACTCTACCTAAAAGTAGAATAAAAATTGAGTTTAGTGTAATTTTCCTATCTTTAATACCAATCTAGACAAGATGAACATCAAGATGTACAAGAAAAGGGCAGATTGACGAACATATCATTTTCCTTTTTATCCTTGCAATGAAAGAAAAAAACGTGTAATGTTTATATCCGTTGTAATTTCCTTTTGTAACATATGCATTGAAAGTATCAGTTTAATGAGATGATTAACTGAGATTTAGATACGTTTTTAAAAAATGCATGAACAATCTTAATCATTATCGTTACCTAATCATATCCTTAATAACATGTTTGTGCAGTTGAAGAAAAAAAATATATAAGTTGAATATAAAATTAACTCATATTACAGAGGAAGATATTTTCTTCTAATAAATAACGTTTTAATCACAAACTGTCCTTCGTTTTTTTTCAATTACAGATAATGAATCATAACTTTGTTTGAAATTCAGATGTGATAATTTTTATTAAAAAAAATTGAACATATAATTAACACAGGATTTTGCAAGAACACTATTTGAATGGTTACTGTTCAATACTTGCAATAGAAAGAAAATAATACACATGTTGATAAATTTCCTGAGGATATGAAACAATTAACCATCATATAAATTTCAACCGAAATGATAAATGTTAAAATAACACCTTGAATAAATCGAGACATTCACGAAATACACTGTAGAAAAAATATTTCAGTTATTGATACTCTCGAACAGAGTTGTCGATATTTTTTATGGATGAGAAGGGTTGAAAAATTCGCCAGAAGGTTGAAAAATTCTTCCAGAATTGTGCTTCCATCCTCGCACTGCTAAAAGAGCTGATCGAAGGAGGGAGAAGAACGAAATCAAGCGTGTCTGGTTCTTCCTACAACACGTGATCTATCACAAGGCTATCTCTCCCCGGGATCTGCTCCAATCCTATTCACCTCGCAACCACATAGTCTGCTTATTTTTATTTTCACTTTCTGCCAGAGAAAAGCAAATGATGTTTTAAAAATTCGGTTTCTATCCAAAGTTACAATGAAGCTGTAAAAAATTCGAAAATTTGTGGACGGAAAAGCTTCCTCTAATCGAGAACCATGCTGTCGAGATTTTCCTCTACAATGCTTCATGGTTTGATTCTGAATTCTAAATAAATACTTTTCGGAATTTGTTTCACTCTTGCATATAAAATTATACTCTACTGTTTCAATCCATACCACTCAAAATTATGTGTCCAAGTAAATAGAAGTTCTTGTGTTAATATTTACTTATTTTGTTTTGTCTCGTGTGTGACATAATAAGCAGAATACTTTGTGGAAAAATGTATTGTCTGTAAAGATAGCTTTTGAAAAGCACGTGACATTTTTTTAATATAGATTTTAGAACTAATTTAAAAAATTTAGAAATTTTCTTTACAGAAATCTCGTGATTTTCTACAATATTTTGTGAACGATTTAGTATTTATTAACAAAGATCAGAAGTAACGAACTTTTAAATTAATTTTTATCGATTTAATGTAAATAACGCTTTTTGATACGTAAAAAAACTAATATTTTATTATTTTATTAATATAATAGAAGATTTTATTTTCCTGATTCATTATAAATATTACATTAGCCCATTAAGGTACTGTTCATGTATCAATCATCGATATTCATTATGCTGTATATAATATTAGTAGCACTGATATATGGAAACCATTTCTCATCATCATGATAATAAACTGTATTACCAATGACAGCAAACAATTGAGGTCCAGGTCCCATTGTTTCATAATATTTTGCATCGGGTAAACCATCACTATGCCGATCGAATTCTTGTTTCAAATATTCCCATGTACGTTCAACACCAAATACATGACATGGTAATTTTGTACGTAAACTATTAAAAGTAAAGCTACATGTATTCATTCTATTGGTTGTTATATAATTCGTTTGCTTTACTCACTTCATATGCTTCAAGAACCATTCGTTTGTCAAACATAAGTAGGAAGAAAAACATAAACCCCTCCCCATAATAGAAGCCCATCCCATATTAGAAGCCCCCCCCCCCCGTATTAGAAGCCCCCTCTGGAGGATTCGATATGCCAGACATATTAGAAGCCCCCTTATTTTAAAAACTTTTTGAGAGTTTTTTGAAAACATTTTTTAGTATTTTCACAGCAAAACTTAAAAAATTACAAAATTTTAAGGTAAAAATGCGTTAAATTCTTAGTTAACCGTATTAAAATCTCAAAAACTCCTTCAAATCCCTCAAAAATCTGTAAAAAACCCTGAAAATCCTATTAAGGCTTTTGAAAAACTTTAGTACCTAAAACCTTCGAAAAATCATAGGACATAATAGAAGCCCCCTCCAAAAAATTTGTATGCTGGATACTTTAGAAGTCCAGGGGGGCTTCTAATATGGGGAGGGGTTTACAAGACAAAACAGGAAGTAAAATTATATGAAAACCATCTATTACAGACTCACATTTCATATGTAAACACACATTCTATTCGTATCGAGATCTGTTGATTCTGTTAACCCTTGAAGCCCCATAGTATAAAAAAAGCTACACCTGTTTTATAATTATTTTTCATAACATAATTTTAAAAAATTAGTACGTAATCTCTCGGAAGGAAGTTATACAGAGTGTTCTAGAATTCGCTTCAACTATCTATAAAGGAGATATATAATCATTCATGTATTTGTGTGTAAAATGAACTAATCTAACAGTCTACTTGAATGGAATTCAGCAGAAATAATATGGGACTGAAAGGGTTAACATTCTTTGCTTCCTTTATTTCTCTCTCTTATCGCAATATTTTTTATATTTTGGTGGATATTCATGGATGCAAAAGGACAACGAACATGGAGAAGGAATAATAAGATAGATACTCTAATATCATTCATGAGAAAATGAATAGTGGAACTATTGCCTGGTATTATCAATCGGAATTGAATCCTTGGCCAAACATATCAACCATTGATGCGAATCTAAAGCAATGGACTAAATATCGAGATCTTGAAATAGATCTTATTGAAGAAGCCTATCAAGAAAAAAAATCACATGTAATATTAGATCGATATCGAATTGATTTTAAACATTTTATTCAAATAAATCTAAATGATGAAACAAAACAACGACCTGTTAAGCGTGAAACAATTTCTAATCGTATAGAATGTTTACGTGAAAATCGTTTTGGTTCAACGATTTCAATAACATCATCATCATCTTCTTCTTATGGTAAATTTGATGCTTGGTGTCCATTTTTAATAGCTTGGCTACATTCTTCTTCTGGTAAACAAGCTTTTGTACATTTTCCTAAATGTATTGAGAAATGTGCCGAAGGTATTATAAAAGAAGCTACTTTACATGATAGCCATAGTCATATGGAAGCAAGATATATGGCTGAAAAACTTCGTCAATATTCAAAAAAATCTCGTATTGAAATAGCTGAACTATGTATTCATTTCTACACAAAAGATAGCTTTCTATATTTTGTTCTAAATAAAGCATTACGAGAACATGATTGTTCAAAATTAGAAACACTTGGTCCATTATGTTATCTTATGCGTAATTATTCTCGTCTTTCAAAAGATTATATCGGTACAGTTTATAGAGGTGTACAATTAACCTATACTGAGATTGAAGCACACAAACGAAATATAGGTGAATGGAAAACTTGGCCAGCATATACATCAACTAGTAAGGATCGTCAAATGGCTGAAATATTTGGAAATACTCTGTTTATTATTGAAATAACTGATGTTAAACTTAGTTCACCACGTGCTTATGATATTGCTTATATATCAAATTATCCGAATGAAAAAGAAGTTTTGATACCAGCTGGTGTTTCATTTCAAATTCTAAACTTTGCACAAGATGCTTCACAAAAATATATTATTAATGTTAAAGTGTAAATATTAGCATTTAGTGTATTCTTTCTGTCTTTTAACCCAGGAAAATGTACATTTTTGTATGATTAAATTTTATGTTGTATTGTAAAATAGTTTTGGATTTTACCATATATCTTCAGGTGATCATTGTTTTGACCAGAATTTTGATCATTGTTTAGGTAAAACGTAGCAACATACTATTTATTTCAATGGTTTCAGTTCATGAAATTTTTATATTTATTGCCTTTAAAAACCCTAAAGGGACGTCGAGAATACAGAATCCAAAAGATCAAAAATATACCAGAAGAAAAACGAAAGGAAAAAAGACAGAAAGAGAAAGAGAATAAAAAAAAGGAAGAGAAACGAAAAAAAGCGAAAAGAAAAGTAGAGAACAAAAAGAATAGACGAACGGATTACACTAATATCATGCTAGAAAGTCTTCAGGAACAATATGAAGCTTTCAAGATGGTTTTTATTCAACTCCGTCAGAATCTTTTATTTCATGTGATGACATCCACCCTGTTGCTAAATTCAAGATATAAAAATGAAAAAGAAATCATATAGATCTACGTATGCAATGAATTTTTGTCTCTTGTTCCTTCCATTGAGATCTATGTGCAGTGAAGGAAAGCTGTTCTACGAGCAAGTAACCATCTCGTAATTTTATGGGAACCTTGCAATATTTATAGTATATATCGTCAAATGATCGTTCTCCATAACAGACAAGAAAAACGTGTCTTTTAAAAAACGACACCGATAAACACGTTTAAGCGACGTATAATAGAAATGTTTAAGACTCTCACGTTGTAAAAATCTGTGAAGAAAGGATAAGGCCCATGTGTTCGATTACGATCGAACGGTGACACAGTTATGCGTAGTTATGATGAAAAAATTACAGTTGCGCATAACTGCAATTTTTTTCCAACTAACAAGCGTAATTACGATTTTTTTTCGTAACTACGTGTAACTGCATCGTAGTTTGTCGCAGTTTTCACTGAAATGCGATGCAATTACGGGTCACAGTGCGATCACAATTGCCAAAAGAGAGACTACCTGGGAGTACAGTAAGCCATATGAAGAAGGAAAGACAATTCATGAAATTTTCATACGATTAATATTGAACAAAAACACGGATGGTGAATTCTGTCTACTCGTTAGAAATATATTTTATAATGTTTTATATTGAATATATTTACAGACTAATTAGAATGACATAATTAAGTTCAAATGGTGTAGCATTCATTTATTCAATATGTTCTAATTGTGTCCTTGTAGTCTATCATCTATTAATACAATGTGTTCAATACTCTTCTTCACATGTATTATTTAAGGGACTCCCTCTAAAAGGAAATTTTCTTTTCGAGCATCCAATTATCATGACATTTTCAGTGGAAGTGTATCTCGAGCTAGACATCTAACAGTAAAAATTTCAGCTCGGTACATTGAGTCTACGAAGAGTTACCATAAGGTTATAAGTCAAAATTTAGGTGTCCGTACGCCTCAAATTTCTCCGCCATTTCGAATACTAGAAAATTCGGACTGGTTCTAAAATGTAGCCAAGACGTGACGCTACAACTTAACAGGGCCCAATTTTTTGATTCCCTCCTAGCTTCTATTTTTAGAAAATGTCTCTGATGAAATATGAAACAGCTGATGTGAGTAGATCCAGAAAAACTAGTTTCTTATAAATATTAATGAGGACATCGAAAAATCCGACTCTGTTAAGTTTTAACGCCACATCTTGGCTACATTTTAGAACCAGTCCGAATTTTCTAGCGTTTAAAATGGCGAAGAAATCTGGGACGCACGGAAACGTAAAATTCAAAAATTCTATTTTGAGAAAAAACCTTATTTTCTCCTATGAGAGATTCAGAAAAGCTGGTACAATATCCTTAAATCTCATCATAAAATCAATAAACTATAGTGCATTCGAAAGTAGACACTTAGCTCTATCTAACGAGCTATAAACCACAAAATCGAAAAATTTGACCAATATTGACATTTTGTAGGGGGCGCCCTTAAGGAAAAAAGAATTCTTCTGCCTTTTTTTTATTGAGATACAATTGAAATTACTAGTCTTACAAATGTGAAAGTATGCAAAATCATCGATTACAATGTTTGCAAGTCGATATGGATACATTGTGAAATGTGTTTTTGAAGTTAACACATGCAACCAAAATATTTTCTAACAGATGTTTGCTAACTAATTTTGATAATTTTCAATAGTGCAAGCGTATAAATTGAATTAAGTATATCAAGTTGATTGAAAACGTTACAGGTGTGTCTCATGGTCGCTAGGATTGGAAGGGTAGCTTCATAACTGAAGAGACCAATTGGAAAAATTTTGATAAAGTTGATCGGACTTTGATGAGAGAGATTTGAACGGTTTTTTTTTGGGAAAACGTGAGAAACAATAAAAACCTTTTAGTAATCCTTATCAAACGAAGAGAGACAATTTTTTTGAGAGATTTTGATCAATAGTTGTATTCAATGCATAAAACTAATCGTTTATTAAATCTAATTAAAATTCTGCATTCAGAATGTTATTTAATATAAAATTTTTTATTTCTCAAGTCAGTAAGTTAATTAAATTATAGATTAATACATATTGAGAAATATTATTTTGTTGGACTTCTTTCTTAAAAAAATATTTCTAAAAATAGTCTTTCTTTTTTTTTCTGTCAGAACAAAATAAATAGGTTTGAACTGCAATTTAAGATGATGCGAATATTATATGAAACTGTAATTCACTGACATGCAAAATTACTAAATAAAGTCTGTAATCTTTTATAATTAATTTTAGCTCATGCATATTAGTCGTATGTTAATTATGCATATACAAATTCAGTCCATAATAATAGCGTGACAAACATGTTTCCGTTCTCAATGTATTATTTTTGTCATGCTACTCTCTTTCTAATAAAATAACATGATGATCACAACATTTGAGTAATAATGGAAAAAAAGAATTTAACCACATTTATTTTTCAAAATTGATTATATTATAAAAAACTGATTTATAATATTTATTCAATATTAATCATAACAAAATATATGACATATATATGTATTATTTCTTTGTTTTACAATAAATTTTTCACTTTTTGTCTACGATAATTTGTAAGCAAATAAAAATTATTGTTATTTTTCTTTTTCAATTATTTCAAAACTTTCACTTCTAATCAATTTGATTTTATTATAATAAAAATTTATTTATGTTTCTGTATTTCTGAAGAACATAAATAATCTTAAATTTAATATCTCGAAAATTCAAGTTAAACTAAACTTTTAAAACATGTTTAATGATTCGAATTTTTTACATGAAATTTCTCAAATGCAGTTTTTCTTTTTCTATTTAAAGATGGAACATTCAGAAATATATAAATTGTGACGTGTTCTTTGAAAGTAAAACTAAATAAAAAGTATACATTCAACATTTTTCTAATATGAATTATAAAAAAAATTATGCATAAAAATCAGAAATTAATCGATGATGTTTTTTCTTTTTGTATTTCAACTCTCTATTAACTGTCTGTAAAAAAGAGATGAATGTAGTTCAGTGTAAAAAAAAAATCCTTTACATAAATTTTTATAAAATTTAATAAGACATAAATTAAAAAGTACAATTAGTTGTATTAAAACTCAATATCAAGATATATCATCTAATATTAGAATCAAGTTTCTATCATCATCATTTATTAATCAACTTTGACATATCGATTTCCATATTCATAAGTTTCAGAATAAAAATAAATACTAGAATTAATCTAAATCATGAATGTTATATTCACATAAAAAGCATTTCAATATTTCATTCCTGATAAAATCATGCAAAAATCAAAGCAAAGATTTTCGCATAGTATTTATTAATTAAAAATTGGCACAATATCAATGAAAAAACACATTCAAGATAAATAAAATAACATCGATCATCAACACACATTATTTACAATAAAATTTCTCTTTTATTGTGTCATTTTATTTCACCACTCTAATTCGGTATTATCGACGAAAAAAGAAAGTATACAAAAAGAAAAACAGAATAACCGGAGCATTACAAAACCCGAGCAATAAATGTAAGGATTTCCTCTTTAACATGGAAGAGTTATTTAAATAAAAAAAAAAAAACAACAAATCAGAAAAAGCTGGAAGCATAAATAACTCGGCAACACAAAGAGAAAAAAAAAGGACATGTTTTGTTTTATATTTAAAATTTTTTGTTTTTTTTTTTAATTATCAAGTATATTAACAAGAGAGATATGTTAAAGAGTAGATTATTATTTTATATATGACTGTTGAAGAAAATAAAAAGTATAATTATTATCTATCATTTGTTTTATGAGTTGATGATGAGCGTGATCGAATTTTATTTTCGTTTGAAACGAAATTTTCACGTGCACTTGCTTTTAAACGTCCAATTTTAATGTAAACACGAGCATGTGGTAGTGTCTAAATAGATAAAAAACAAACTACTAATTATTTTTCATATTCAATAATTTCTACCTTTAATGTATAAGCAACTTGTTCGTATGCAGCTGAACGTAAATCTTTTCCATTTACTTCAAGAATTAAATCTCCTGACATAAGTCGACCATCTTTTTCTGCAGAACTACCTTCAATCTAATTTAACGAAAATATAAATCCATAATAAATTATGAAAAAAAAAAGAAAATTTACAATATGAGATATAAATACACCATATCCATGTCGTCTTCCGATGATACTAAATCCTATAAGCAAACGGAATTAAAGTAAAATTTAATTTTCATATGATTTCATTTTTACCAAGTCCTTTGCCTGATTTTTTAATAAAATCAACTGTTATTATGTCAAATTTATCTTCTTCATTCACCATTTCACTACGAAATATAACCATACGAATAATATTTGTTGATTGCCGTAATGCTTTAATAGCTTCTTCATGTGTTGCCGCACGTAAATTAATTGAATTAACCTATTCGATATAAATTATAAATTCATATTCATATTCAATAATACAAAAAAAAGACCTCAAGTATTTGATC